GTAGTGTTTCGTTCTGCTGTGCATGGGGTCGCTATGAGTCGGAAATGACTCGATGGCACTTAACATCAACAACAACAGAGTAATGGGTTTGTAAGCAGTAAATATTTTCATAGTTTTTACTAAACATTCTCTTGCTACAGCTTAAATCTCCTTTCTTCATGATTGCCCCCAGGAATACTCAAGGGAGTCAAATGAATACATCTTCCAATCAGCAGGTTGAAACAGATTGCAAACCCAATAAATGTGGAAAGAATCTTTTGGGTAGAGAAAGCCAAGCTGAAGTTATGGTTGGGTTGGTAGCTAGCTCAGGGGCTGATTTCACTTATGAGACCTGTTGGCCCATTATGGTATTCCACATATATGTAGCTCAGTACCTAAGAGTGTGTTCTTGGGAACCTGATCATAGATTAGGAGATGGAGTTGGTCCATGCCTAAGGCTTATAAATGGTTTCCATTTTCCCCCATTTAGGGCTGCAAAGTGGTTGGAGCAGCAGGGTCTGATGACAAGGTTGCCTATATTAAAAAACTTGGATTTGATTTTGCCTTTAACTATAAGACAGTAAAGTCTTTGGAAGAAACTTTGAAAAAAGCCTCTCCTGATGGTTATGATTGCTATTTTGATAACGTAAGTACAAACTAGACTTAATATATGGTTTATTAACAAAGTACTATGCATTGGAATATATTTATGGAGTTTCCATCTAAAATTTAGGAAGTATCCCTTTGTTCGTAATGGCTTTACTGAGATATAATTCATATACCATACATTTCACCTATTTAAAGTATTATCCAATGGTTTTCAATATATCTACAACCATTTCCACAATTAGTTTTAAAACATTTTCAACATTATAGAAAAGAAACCCTGTATCCACTATCAGTAACTTACCATTTCCCCCATGTGGCCTCTTGTGACTGACTTCTTACCATGCTTTCAGGGTTCATCCATGTTGTAGCATGTATTAGCACCTCATTCCATTTTGTGTGTGTTGTTGTTGTTATGTGCCATCGAGTTGGATCCAACTCACAACAACCGCTTCTTAGGTTTCCAAGGCAGTATCACTAAGGAAGTAGATTGCCCCATCTTCCTTCCGAGGAGTGGCTGGTGAGTTTGAACTGCCAGCCTTCTGGTTAGCAGTCAAATGCCTTAGGCACCATGCTACCAGAACTCTCATTTTGTGTGTAGGTTAAAAAAAAACAACTCACTGCCATCGAGTCAAATCCGACTCATAGCAACCCCCATTGGGTTTCTGAGGCTGTAAATCTCTATGGAAGTAGATCGCCCCATCTTCCTTCCACGGTGCAGCTGATGGGTTTGAACCATTTACCTTTTGGTTAGCAGCCAAATGGCTTATCCACTACACCACCAGAGCTCTTTTATGTGTGGGTATACCCCATTTTGGATTTTATTTATCCGTTCACCAGTTGACAGGCATTTGAGTTATTTATACTTTTTGGCTATAATGCTACCATGAATATTTGTTTGCAAGTTTCTGTATGGACTTACGGTTTTGTTTTGTTTTTTCTTTTGGGTATACACATATGACTGGAATTGCTGGGCCACATAGTAATTCCATGTTTAACATTTTCAGAAATTGCCAAACTTTTTGCAAACTGGTTGCTGTATTTTACATTTCTATCAGCAATGTTATCAGTGCTCCCATTTCTCCAAATCCTCACCAACATTTATTATTATAAGTCTTTTTGATTATAGCCATTCTAGGGAGTTTGAAGTGGTACTTCATTGCGGTTTTGATTTGCATTTTCCAAATGGAAATGCTGTTGTTGGTCATTTGCATATCTTTTTTGGATAAATATCTGCTCACATTTTTTGCCCACTTTTCAGTTGGTTTATTTGTTGAGTTGTAAGGATATATTCTGAATAGAAGTCCCTCATCAGATAGATGATTTGCAAATATTTTTCCTATTCTATGAGTTCTTTTTCTTTCCTTGATAGTGTTCTTTAAAACACAGACTTTAATTTTGACGAAGTCTAATATATCTATTTTTCTCTTATTTTGCTTGGATTCCTGTCATGCCTAAGAAGGCTTTGCCTTACTTAAGGTCATGAAGATTTACTCTTACATTTTCTTTTAAAATTTTGTAGTCTTCTTTTAAGAGTTTTATTGTTTTTTAGCTCTTACATTTAGGTCTGTGATCCACTTAATTTTCATATATGGTGTAAGGAACGGGTTCAATTTTATTCTTTTCTATGTGGCTATTCAGTTGTGCTGTACCATTTGTTAAAAAGATTATTTTTTAATTTTTTGAATTATTTTGGTACCCTTGTCAAAAGTCAGTTGATCATGAATGTAAGGGTTTATTTCTGGACTTTCAACTCAGTTCCATTGACTTACATTCTTTGGAGTGAGTTTTGAAATCATCAAACTTGAGTCTTCCAACTTTGTTCTTCATGTGCCTTTTGCGTATATTTCTGTACTTTTAAGTTATAGGACAAAGTGATTACTGGGCTGATCAAAGAACCCCAGTATCTAGTAAGGTAAAATTGGTAAGTTCTAGAAGTATATTCTTAGAGTTAGGTGTAAATGTCTAGTTTTCTAATGCTTTTTCCCTAACTGCAGTTTTCTGCCCTGTCAGTTTCTTGCTGCTAAAATAGGTATTATGAAATGAAGATTGTGACTTAATGGTTTCCCTGAATCTTCTAGTGTTTAGATTATTTGCTTTTTTGTTTTGTTTTTATTTCTTTGTACCTGTTTAGGTCGGGGGAGAGTTTTCAAATGTAGTTATCCCTCAGATGAAGAAATTTGGAAGAATTGCTTTATGTGGGGCCATCTCTACATATAACAGTACTCGTCCACTTCCTCCAGGTAATGAGCTCAAGTACATGATCACAGATAGAGGAAATGTGGACAAGGAGAAGATGCACAGATACGGGGTAGGCCAGTGACTATCAGGATACTAGAAAGAGTAAAATTACAGTTCATATGACGTATTTCCTAGGTAACGATGAAGTCTGTCACTGACTGTAGATAAAAAATAAATAAGAACACTGCTAATGACAATTTTGCAAAAAAGAGTTAGAAATATTTTTCTGATAAAATGATTCAATAGTATTTACTAAAATATATAGTTGTATATATTTTGTGTGAAATCAGCTTATATTAAATTTTAATGTAGAGAAATAGGAGTATCCAAAAATATGGAAGAAAATTTTATCGTTATTAAAAGTTTTTGGTTTTTACCTGTTGTTCTTTGGAAAGGTGTAAACAGATAGCCATGATTAGATTTAGAAATAGAACACCTTGGTCTGGCTGAAGAATACTGGAGTTCTTCAGAGTATTCAGGATATTGCTGGAGGTGTGGGGATAGGTAGAGGGTGCTTGACCTGGGTGAAGGGAAGGGCAGCCTGCCATGTTCTTTAGTCTTGAACAGCAGGATACCCAGCCTCATCAAACTAGCGGTTTCTACCAAGAGGGAAAGGAGCATGCCCTTCCCCTCCATTCCTTTCTTCCCTTTGTTTATTTGTTTCAGTGGACATCTGGCTCTCCTAGGCCCCTAGTGCTCTACATCGCTCACTTCCCCACTCTTATGATGAGACTGCTCCTTCCCTGCACACACAAAGGCCAAAAGCAATAGCAACTAGAAAACAACATTTATTAAATCCCAGTCTTCTGAGAGATGTTGCATGTTGTTGTTGTTAGGTGCCATTGAGTCATCTCCGACTCATAGTGGCCCTGTGCACAGCAGAACAGAACACTGCCCAGTCCTGCGCCAGCTCCATGATCCTTGCTATACTTGAGCCCACGGCTGCAGCCACAGTGTCAGTCCATCTTGTTGAGGGCCTTCCCCTCTTTCATCAACCCTCCACCTTACCAAGCATGACATCCTTCTCCAGGAAATGGTCCCTTCTGACAACATGACCAAAGTAGGTGAGACGGAGTCTGGCCATTCTCACTTCCAAGGAGCATTGTGGCTGCACTCTCTTTTAGCAGATCCCAGAGGGTCAGGGAGGGCTCATCTCCTGACCTCCTCTAACCCCACAAGAGGAAGACAGAATCACCATCAGCAGCCCAAGACCTATCCCTGTGAGGCCAGACATGCTGTTTCCCTCCTGACACCAACCGTCCTCCCGCAGCACCCACTACCTCTCTACTGGGTTCGATAATTCGCTGTAGTGGCTGCACAGAACTCACAGATTATAGGGTTTATTAGGGAAGCACCAGGCTACAATTCAAGTTCAGGAACAATGCTCAGTCTCTCTCAGCCCACCGTCTCTCAGCCAACAGTCTCTCTCCGTCTCTCTTCCAGCAGTGCTTGTCTCTTTCTCAGCAGCACATGTCTCTCAGTGTCTTTCAGGAGCTGTGTTTCTCTCAGCAGTACATTGTCTCAGCCAGCAGTCAGAGAGACCCCCTTCTGCCTCTAGGAGGTTTTGAGCCTGGCAGAGTGGCCAAACTAACCAATCATAACATCAGAATTGTAAGCACCTGAGAGAGAGCAAACTTGCCAGTGCACTGCTTTGTGCCATTCACAACAGAAATATCCCAGGTGGATAACTTTAACAATCAGGAGCTCCTCAGTTGCTCCTGGCAAATTCCACCATGGAGTTTACAAAGACTTATGGCTAGAAAAGCCATACCAGGTAATTTACTACACTGCAGCAGACCATGGTACTTTTAGCATTCTTTGCCAGCACCACAACTCAAAAGCATCAACTCTTCTTTGGTCTTTGTCATTCATTATCCAGCTCTCACATGCGTATGAGGTGATTGAAAATACTATGGCTTGTATCAGATTCACTTAGTCCTCAAGGAGACATCTTTGCCCTTCAGCAATTGAAAGAGGTCCTTTGCACAGACAGACAGACAGGATCTAGGTAAGGGGAGGGACACAGGCCCCACCCCCAAGAGGCAGGAAAGGTGGGGGGAGCTGCTGCATAGGCCTCTCCTTTTACAGAAGGACAAGACTGAAAATGGCTAGAGAGGACCAGAGACTCTTTAAATCCTATTAGAGACAGACTCAAAACAAACACAAGTCTTCTGAACTCCTGATACAGAATCCTTTTCTTCTCTAAAAATTCTGTGTTATTGGTGAGATTACAGATTTATCTATGGCTCAGAAAAGGAGAAATAATACCAAAAAAGAATCTTTCAGACTATAATCAGGATTTAGCCAACCCTAAATAAATTAGATATTCATTTTTGTGATGGGCTTTGACTTATGGCAATGAATTCTTATAGCACTCTAGGTAACACCATCACAAGTACACTGAGATGAGTGCGGAGGGCTGAGGAAGGGCAACGGTAGTTCCCCTCTTGGGTTGTAAGAAATGAAAGATGTCTCCTTTCCCAAGAGGGAAAACTCTAGTTTTTCTTGGCAGTCCTATTATTAGGGACTTTTCCCCCCACTACATTTTTCTCATTGATGCTAAGCTAGAATCATGTCTGCCTGCCAACTGAGCAAAGTTCCAGGATGCACTTTTTTTTTCCTTGCAATATAATTTATATATAGTGAAATACACAAAACTTAATGACATGGTTCAATGCATTTTTTTCCCTTTTTTTTTTGCAGTGTTCCCTCCCCCCGCAACCAACAAAGAAAGTTTCCTTTCATATATAAACCTTTCCTTGACTTTTTACAATAATGAACTAATACTGTATTTGTCCTTCTGTGATTGATTTATTTCATTCAGTATAATGTTCTCCAAGTTCAGGATGCATTTTCTTAACCACAGTCCAATTAGCTACCAAAAAATTCCAAACTCACTACTGTCAAGTTGGATCTGACTCATGGTGACCCTTCCTTGGGTTTCTGAGGCAGTATCACTACAGAAATAGATTACCCAGTCTTCCTTCAAGGAGTGGCTGATGGGTTTGAACTGCCAGCCTTCTGGTTAGCAGTCAAGTGCCTTACATTTTTGATTGAGCACCCTGATCTAATCTTCTTAGCAAATAGTCTTTGAAAATTCAGCTGCTTGGCTAAGTCTTTGACAGGGCACTTGGCCTTGCCCATTCTGTTTTGATCATAAGGGATTCTGCCCAGTTTCTGACCTCTAGAAATTCTAACATATTTCAAAGACAGGTAGTTATTTACTTGAACTTGAATGCCACTTTTTTTTTTTTTTGGCTCTCAGTAAAGAAACTAACATTCCCATCAGGATGGACAAGCCCAGAAGTGGTTCTTCACCCTTTTCTAAGATGAAGAAATGAGGATTCCAATCCTTAACTCATAAAAAACAATGGTTGGGGTGGGACTTCTGAAGCAGTACTCTTTATGCAACACCAATCTAGCATTTGGATGTGTCACTATTGTATGTCAGTCTCCTGTCTTGCCTGTATTTCCTGGGCATGCATCAGTTTTGGTTCATGACAATGCTCTGTTGTTATGACTGCTAATGTTATTTTCTTCCAAAAAGTGAGTAGGACTTTAGGCTTATGTGATGCCAGTTATTTAGACTCGGCCCTCGTCTTGTCTCTTTTGGCTTTGATATTCTCCAAGTATCTTCACCTGACTTCCTGGAACTTATAGGACTATGCTGAGGTATCATTTCCTCAGTTTCTGATCATGTATGATCCTTAGGAAAATAAGCCAGGCAACCAGTACAGCCCTTTGTCTCATACGGAAGAGGACTACCATCTTTACAGGCACTGTGACTTGATAGTAACCTCATCTGTTCTCAATGCCAGTAGTTCTCAAAGTATAGTCCCCAAAACCAACTACACCATTTCCTGGGAACCTGTTAGAAATTCAAATTCTCAGGCCCTACTCTAGATCCATTAGATCAGAAATTGGGAGAGGGGCCAGCAATCGGCTTTCACAAGCCTTCCGGATGATTCTGATACATGCTGAAGTTTGAGACATACTATGCAGGGTAGCTCTCAGTATCCTGAAATGCGGAGGGCAGGGGCAGGTGTGGGAGTTGCTGAGCCTCCTGACCTGTTCCTTCTTACTGACTCTTGCATCCTCTTTAAGAACAAAAGAGAAGAAAATGAGTTTATGCCATAGAGTGACTGCATTAAGCCATAAGGCAGAACATGCTAACTATCAGGAATATCAGGAATCACTTCTTAAGTAATGCAGAAAATTTTTCATGTTAGATTTAAGACCTTGTTCTGTTCCATAGAAGTGTTTGGGAAGGTGGGCCTTCTGGTACTTGAGGGATGCACACTCCTTGGCTGCCTGTGTCTGTACATGGACTCAGTGTGTATTAGTTTCCATTGCTGCTATAACAAATTACCACAAATTTAATGGCTTAAAACAACACAAATTTCTTATCTGACAGTTCCAAAGATCAAAAATCTAAAATGGGCTGCAGGGCTGCATTCCTTCTGAAAGCGCTAGAGGAAAATCCATGTCCTTGCTTTTTGCAGTTTCTGGAGGCCCCATGCATTCCTTGGCACAAGGCCCCTTCCTCCATCTACAAAGCCAGCAGCATACAATCTTCAAGTATTTCTCTCACTCTCCGTCTCTGCCTCTCTCTGAACTCTATTGCCATCATCGCATCTCCTGTCTGACTTTTCTGCTTTCCTCTCCCTCATAAGAATCCTTGTGACTACTCTGGACCCACGCAGATAATCATAATCTCCCCACCTCAAAGTCCTTAATCACATCAGCATAATCCCTTTTGCCATGTCAGGTGACATATTCGCAGATTCTGGAGATTAGGGCATGGACATCTTTGGGGAGGCCATTCTTCTACCTGCCAGAGAGTGCATGTTGATTAATCAGCAACCCCGTAGCTCAGAAGTAAGTGGAGGAACTGAAAGGGAAGGCAACAGAACAGTGATGGTCGGTTGTGCTCCCTGTCTTTTCACTATATCCATTTCCCTGAACCCGGTGGCCCTTCTCTTCACAGGCCCACCCCCAGAGATTGTCATCTATCAGGAACTCCGTATGGAAGGGTTCATTGTAACCCGCTGGCAAGGGGATGTACGCCAGAAGGCTCTGCAGGACTTGCTGAAATGGGTCTCAGAGGTAAGGGGCTCCAGGGCCAACCTCTCCAATTGTACATGTGGTCCCATTCATTTTGTCACTTGAGACTGTCACCTACCAACTTTTGCCTCTTTCCTGTTGCATCATCAGTTTTCTGCTGTCTATCATTTCATTGCCTTTAGAATACAAACACTCTTACTTCTTCCATCTTAAACAATAAAACCAAAACAAAACAAATAAATAAAACCCTCTCCAGATCTCATTTCCACTCCATTTCATTGCTTCCCCTTTTACAACAAAATCCCAGGAAGAGTCCTCTACCTACTGTCTGCTGTTCCTCTCTTTCCATTCTTTCTTGAACTCACCTATCAGATTGTTGCCCTGCTGCCATTCCATCAAAATTGCTTTTGTCAAGGTCATCAGTGTTCCTCACAATGTAACATCAATGGTCAGTCCTCAACATCAGTTGACAACGAGCAGTATTTGATATAGATAATCACTCCCTCCTTGGTACACTTTCTTCCCTTGGCTTCCAGGCATTGCTCTTGATTTTTTTTCCTACCTCACTTCTCATTGTCCTTCGTTGGCTTTTTTCTTTCTCTACCAAGTTAACTATTGGACTTCTTTTCTTCTTTATTCACACTCTATCCTTAAATTAGCTCATCCAGGCTCATGCCTTTAAATATCATCAACATGTTCATGACTCTCAAATATCTATCTCCAGCCTATACCACTTCCTGAACCCTAGACTTAAATATCCAGCTGCTAACTCAACAGCTACACATAGATGCCTAAGACACGTCTAAGACTTAACATGTCAAACACAAAATGTTTTGCTCTTTCTTGCCAAACCTGCCCATGTACGGACATCACCAGCTGAGTTAATGACCAATCTGCCCATCTAGTTGCTCTGTGCAAACACCATGCCAATGTCTTCTTTGGTTTTTGTCTTTCTCTCATATACCACATCTAATCTGTCAAGAAATGCTAATAGCTCTACCTTCATATTACAGGACCTGACCACTTGTCTCACTTCCACTATTACCACACTGTTCCAGGCCACTGTTTTGTCCAGCCTGGATGTGACACTAGCCTCTGTCTGGTCTTGCTCTTCTACCGTTGCCCCACTATAGACAATTCCCAACATAGCAGCCAAACTGATTTTTAAAACATAAATCAAACTACGTCGTTCTTATGCTCAGAACTCCTCAGAGATCCCCATTTCATTTAGAGTTAAGCCAGCAAATTTACAATAAGCAATAAGGCTGTACACAATCAAGCCTTCGTGATCTCTAATTTCATTTCTTAGTATTCAATCTCTTGCTCACTATGCCTCCAATAACTGTTTAACTCTCTCACCCCCTTCACATCTTTGCTTCTGAATGAGGCAACTTTTTAAATGACTGTTTTAATTTGCAGCCCCTTCATTCCTGATTATCTTTATCTTATAGCATTTTTCACCTTTTAACATACTATATATTTCACTTGGAGTCCCGGGGTGGTGTGAACAGTTAATGCACTCAGCTGCTAACCAAAAGGTTAGGAGTTTGAGTCCACCCAAGGGCCCCTCAGAGGGCCTGGGGATCTGCTTCTGAAAAATGAGCCACTGGAAACCATATAAAGTTCTTCTCTGACACACATGGGGTCGCTGTGAGTTGACTTGACTCAACAGTATTTACTTTACTGATTTTACACTTCATTCATTTTTTACACTTATTGTTTGTATCCCTCCCATGTGACTATAACCTCCTGTTTGTCTGTTTTGTTTTCTGATGTATTCCTAGCACCTAGACCAAGCTCATTGCCACTGAGTTGATTCCAACTCATAGCAACCCCCTTTGGGTTTCCGAGGCAATAAATCTTTAAAGTAGATTGCCCAGTCTTCTGTGGAGTAGCTGGTGGGTTTGAACCGCCAACCTTCTGGTTAGCAGTCAAATGCCTTAGGCACTACGCTACCAGAGCTCCTTAGCACCTAGAATAGTACCTGATAAATACTGTTGAATGAGTCAGTGTTAGAGGTGTGTGAATATGTGCGATGGCTCTTCTAGGTCCTAGAGCAGAAAGAGCTTTCTAGCAGTCATGCCTTTAGATCCCTTGGTCCTCTGCTGTGATCATTTTCCCATCTTATACCATGTGCAGTTTCAGTCAGTAGGAATCTGAATAACCAAGGTACATTATTTTAGTTTTGGAGGGAAAAAGTGATCTCATATTCCCTAATTACTGGTTTTGTGATCATTTCCCAAGTCAGTGAAATTGATACTTCCTCCAGCCACTAGAGTATGGTGGTTTCCTCAGCCTAACACTTGTAGTACTGGGCCAGCCTCTCTCCAGGAAGCTGGGAAGAGTTGAATTACCTTAAGTTCCCAGTGTAGTCTCTTATTTTATTCCTGTTGTGAAATCAAATCTAGCCCAATGATGATCACAGCTGAGAAGAAAAAACCTCTGTGCTAGTATCCCTAATTCTTCCCTCTAACAAAGAAAAGCTGACTGTAGTGTTGTTTTTAAAGTAATTAATGAGTTGTTTCTCTCTCATCCCTTTTTTCTCCTCATCCCCTATTTTTAACTGCATTTGTTATTTTAGAAATTTCAGATTTACAGAAAAATTGGGAAGATAGTATAGAGTTTCCATATACTCAAAACAAATCCACTGCCAATGAGCCAATTCCCATACACCCTGCATAAACTCCCCTATAATTAATTTCTTATATTAGTATTCATCCTCTATTTTTAACCTTTAAAGTAGATTATAGGTTTCTACCCTTTCTAGGTTCTTTGCCTCATCAAGAGGAGGAATGAGCTGAGGCTTTCTTGTCAGAAGTTCAAATCCCAGCTTCTGCTTATCAGACGAGTGACCTCAAGCAAATAATCTCCTTCAGAAATCCCAAAAGTGATGCAAAAACATCACTTTAATAAATTAGGAAAAAATGGTATCAGATAACTCAGGTCTCCACATGAGACAACGTGAAAATGTAAATTGGTCCCACCTAGTAGAGTATTGTAGTAGAAAGACAACCAACCTTCCGCATGTAAGGCATTCTCTCCCACACTCCTGAATGAGTGGTAAACACATATTGAAAGAATCTGAGTTTGAAGGGGGGATGTTCCTAGCCTAATATCTACCATGGTATCTGCATTTCCTGGACAGATCCTGCCTCTTCAGGGGTCAAATACAGATAATCATGTTGCATAACTGGGCTACTGGAAGGATTAAACTGCTAATACCCAAGAAGGGAGCTCCTTACTCTGTCTGCTTCCACTTCCTCTGAAATCATTACATGATCATGCTTGTTTATTCAACTTACTTAGAAATGACTTAGTCACTACCTCATGACATTTCTCCTATTGTTACACTGTGATCTGATGCCTATTATTAAACTTCTCTTAGGTGTTCTTTGCAATCTGTGACATACACTGTGTATGTGTGTCTTGCCCCCAGACTGGCTATAAATCAATGGAGTATAGGTCCTCCCCTCCAGCTTATGTTCTCAAATATTGTATGATGTACCTTATAAATATTTGTTGCTAGGATGAGACAGGTGTATCATTTGGAATATAAAATTAATCTATTTGTTGTTGTTTTGATACAGGGTAAAATCCAATACCATGAATACATCAAAGTAGGATTTGGAAACATGCCAGCTGCATTTATGGGGATGCTGAAAGGAGATAATTTGGGGAAAACAATAGTGAAAGCTTGAAAAAGGACACATGGAATCAAGAGATCATTTGGATGATTACTTAGTGTTTTTCATCATTTAGTGAAAAACGTGTATTGCCTTAATTATCTAAGAAATAATAATAATAATAGCAACTGTAATGACTTTGATCTAACAAATAAATTTAAGTATAAATGGTGTCTTATTAGCAATAAACCAAAAAATCAAACCCACTGCCATCAGGTTGATTACGACTCATAGAAACCCGTGTTGGGTTTCCAAGGCTGTAAATCTTTACCAAAGTAGACTGCCTCATCTTCCTCCTGCAGAACAACTGGTGGGTGTGAACTGCTTTCTGGTTAGCAGCTAAATACCTGTGCCACCAGAGCTTCTCATTATTAGTAAGAGGGAATGAAAATTTCAGTGAACACAAACCAGTCCTGCACTGCCTGCCACAGCTCCTTCTAGATTATGGTAGAAAATAATAGCTTTGAAGTCGGAAAGACTTAATGCCTCTGTGACATTGCTCATCTGTTAAGCAAGGATAATGACATCTGCTTCATCTACATAATGTACACTTATTTAAAATATCAGCATAATACCTGGCATATATTAAGTACTCACTAAATGCTAGCTACCTCCCTGAGTTAAAGTCATAAGATTACTACCCTTATTGCTTATGATCATACCCAAAAAATAACTGCTGGTGTACATAAGTGCCAGGGCCAGCCTGCACTGATCCTTTGTAAATGATAATATGGCAATAAGTAATAATAAGACAGATCAGGAAGAAAACTACTGTTCACAACAGCTACAAAAAAGATTATAGAAATATTAATAAACTTACAGAAATTGTATAAAATATATATGACAAAAGCTTAAAATTACTGAAGAACACAAAACTTGAACATTTAGAAAGGTATTATGTTCTGGGACAGGAAGATTCAACGACATGAAGTCAATTCCATTGATCAATTGTGCCATCAACAGGAAAAGAAATTGTAGTACAACAAAATAATGAAAATGTGTATGTGTGTATAACTGATCCTCATTATTCTCAAGTTCTTTATTTGTGAATTCATCTGCTCACTAAGACCTCTTCGTAACCCCAAAATTCCACCACTTGTCTGACAGTTTGTCATACTGTGGTGGCTTGCATGTTGCTATGAGGCTGGAAGCTATGCTACTGGTATTTTAAACACCATCAGGGTCACCCATGGTGGACAGGTTTCAGTGGAGCTTCTAGATTAAGACAGACTTGGAAGAAAGAAGGGGGCATCCAATGGCCAGTGAAAACCTTATGAATAGCAGTGAAACACCGATATATTACTGGAAAACTTTGAATAGGCCTGAAACATTGTCTGATACAGTGCTGGAAGATGAGCTTCTCAGGTTGGAAGGTACCTAATATACAACTGGGAAGAGCTGCTTCCTCAAAGTAGAGTTGACCTTAATAACATGGATGGAGTAACACTTTCGGGACATCCATTTGCTGGTGTGGCATGACTCAAAATGGGAAGAAACAGCTGTAAACATCCATTAACAATCAAAAAATGGAATGTATGAAGTATGAATGTAGGAAAATTGGAAGTTATCAAAAGTGGAATGGAGTGCATAAAGATCTATATCCTGGGCATTAGTGAGCTGAAATGGACTGGTTTTGGGTATTTTGAATCAACCATATGATCTACTGTGCTGGGAATGACAGATTGAAGAGGAATGGTGTGGCATTTGTCACAAAGAATGTTTCAAGATCAATCCTAAGTACAGTGCTGTCAGGATAATATCCATACACCTACAAGGAAGTTAATACTACTATTATTGACATTTATGCACCAATCACCAAAACCAAAGAAGAGGAAATGGAAGATTTTTACCAATTTATGCAGTCTGAAATTGACAGAACATGCTATCAAGATGTGTTGATTATTACTCGTGATTGGAATGCAAAAGTTGGAGACAAAAATCACCAGTAGTTGGAAAATATGGACTTGGTGACAGAAATGACATTGGAGGTCGCATGATAAAATTTTGCAAGACCAATGTCATATTCATTGTAAATACCTTTTTCAACAACATAAATGGTGGCTATACACATAGACTTTGCCAGATGGAATACACAGGAATCAGATCAACTACATCTGTGCAAAGAGATGATGGAGAAACTCAGTATCTTCAGCCCAAACTAGGCCAAGAGCTGACTGTGGAACAGACCATTTACTGCTCGTGCAAGTTCAAGTTGAAGCTGAAGACAATTAAAGGAAATCCACGAGAGCCAAAATATGACCTTGATTATATCCCACCTGAATTTAGAGACCATCTAAAGAGCAGATTTGACACGCTGAACACCAATGACCAAAAACCAGATGAATTGTAGGATGACATCAAGAACATCATACGTGAAAAAAAGCAAAAGGCCATTAGAAAGACAGAAAGGAAGAAAAGACCAAAATGAATGTCAGACAAGACTCTGAAACTTGTCCTTGAATGGAGAGGAGCTAAAGCAAAGGGAAGAAATGACAAGATTAAAGGACCAAACAAGATTTCAAAGATTAGCTTGAGAAGACCAAGTCAATTATTATAATGAAATGTGCAAAAACCTGGAATTAGAAAACGAAAAGGGAAGAATGTGCTCAGCATTTCTCAAGCTAAAAGAACTGAAGAAAAAATTGAAGCAAGATACAATACTGAAAGATTTTATGGGCAAAATATTGAATGATACAGGAAACATCAAAAGAAGATGGAAGTCATACACAGTCACTACCAAAAAGAATTAGTCAATGTTCATCCATTGTAGGAGGCAGCAAATGATCAAGAACCAATGGTATTGAAGGAAGAAGTTGAAGCTGCACTGAAAAACAAAGCTCCAGGAATTGACGGCATACTCACTAGGAGGTTTCAACAAACGGATGCTGCACTGGAGTTTCTGCCAAGAGATTTGGAAGAGGACTACCTTGCCAACTGACTGGAAGAGATCCATATTTGTACCCATTCCAAAGAAAGGTGATCCCACAGAAATTATTGTGGAAATAATTGAACAGGATCATTAATATCACATGTAAGTAACATCTTGCTGAAGGTAATTCAAAAACAGTTGCAGCAGTATATTGACAGGAAACTTCCAGAAATGCAAGCTGGATCCAGAAGAGGACGTGGAACAAAGGATATCACTGCTGATGTCAGATGGATCTTGGATGAAAACAAATACCAGAAAGATGTTTACTTGTGTTTTATTGACTATGCAAAAGCATTTGATTGTGTGAATCATAACAAATTATGGATAACATTGAGAAGAATGGGAATTCCAGAACACTTAATTGTCCTTGTGAGGAACTTGTACATAGATGAGGAAGTTGTCATTTGAACAGAACAAGGGGATATTGCATGGTTTAAAATTAGGAAAGGAGTGTGTCAGGGTTGAACCCTTTCACCATACTTATTCAATCTATATGCTAGGCAAATAATCCAAGAAGCTGGACTATATGGAGAAGAATGCTGCACCAGGATTGAAGGAAGACTAACAACCTGTGATACACAGATGACACAACTTTGCTTGCTAAAACTTAAGATGACTTGAAGCACTTACTGATGATTATGATTAAAGACTACAGTCTGCAGGATGGATTACACCTCAACATAAAACAAAAATCCTCACAACTGTATCAATAAGCAGCATCGTGATAAATGGAGAAAATATTGAAGTCAAAGATTTCGTATTACTTGGTTCCACAATCAACAGCAATGGAAGCAGCAGTCAAGAAATCGGATCTTGTATTGCAATGGGCAAGTCTGCTGCAAAAGACCTCTTTAAAAGTGGTGAGGAGCAAAAATGTCTCTTTGAAGACTATGGTGTTCCTAACCAAAGCCATGCTGTTTTCAGTCACCTCATGTGCATGTGAAAGCTGAACAATAAGGAAGACCTAAGACGAGCTGATGCTTTTGAATTGTTGGCAAAGAATACTGAAAGAACTGACAAATCTTCCCTGTAAGAAGTACATCTGGAATGCTCCTTGGAAATGAGAATGGCCAGACTTTGTCTCACCTACTTTGGTCATGTCAGATGTGACTGTTCCCTGGAGAAGGAGATCATGCTTGGTAAAGTGGAGGGTCAGCAAAAAAGGGGAAGACCCTCAATGAGGTGCATTGCCAATGGCTTCAACGACGGGCTCAGGAATAGCAAGTATTGTGAGGCTGGCCCAGGCCCAGGCAGTGTTTTGTTCTGTTGTCCATGGGATCGCTGTGAGTCAGAGCCGACTGGAAGGCACCTAACACCCCCCAAACTAACACTCGTGGCACTTTCCCCATCATTCAGAGAGTGGTGAAACAGTTGGGTTGTCTGAGACTGAGGTTCCTGATAGGATGAACAAGGCTGGTTTGGTACTTGCTGATACAGGTTCTGTAAAGCTCAGTGAGTTTACAGAATACACACCAGTTGTTGGCCAGTGGACCCCAATTCCTGGTGACCCCATGTGCATGAGAACTGTGGTTCCTAGTGTTGTCAATGTTGATTTTTTGAACTCTGAACCCCATGCACAAATTACTCACAAATGGGGGGGAAAAAAAAAAAACCTTCCCTTTTGTGTCACCTCCCCTTACCAAAGTATTCAATCCTAAAGGCATTAGGTTCAGAACAAGGTAGATGTCTCCTGGGGCTGAGTGGAAGAGCCTCATTGACCCAAAGCAGGCTGAGGTCATGCATACAGGCTGTCCGCCGGGCATGGCAGTCAAAGCCCAAGGCTGTTTGTGTGTGGAGGGTGCTTCAGTCCAGTGAGGGGAGCTGGAGCTTGAGCCAAATGAGAAGGGTCTTTGAATCGTTGTAGGAGGGCTGCCCAGCAAGGTGTGTCAATGCCCAAGACCAGTATAGGAGGCATCCATGCAGGTGAGAGAAGCAGGGTTGAGGCTCTAGACAGCACGTTTACATTTGCTGCTAAAACAAAATCATTATACGTTAATCCAGTGCTCTCTCCCATACCTAAGACTTTAACCATCTAATGGGTTATGACAAACCATTTCTTAAATTTCTTTTTTCCTTCTTCAAGTGTTTGTTTCTCCAGCTTCCTAGCAGGCTCCACAACCCACAACCGATTCTGCCTGAACCATTCCCTCCCTCATGACATCCAGATTATTTTGTGGAGTCTCTCTCCAGTCTCACAGGACAGAGGTTCCTCAACTTGCTCTTGGAGCTTTTCT